AAACATGATAGAACAGAATTTAAAACTACTAAGCAACTGCCTGCAATCCGCTGCGATGAGTTTGATGTCGGCATTGGCAACACACTCATTAATACACTCCACTACAGAAAGAGAATATGATCAGATGATCATATTCTCCACTTTTAACTCCAAAGCAATACTCAAAGCCCAACACATTGCGAGGATTTCTGCGACCACCGGAGCCACTATCCTGCAATCTCTTTTACTGGAGGCAAGGAAGATTTCAGAGTCATGGTTCCTAATAATACAATCATAGCAAACAGCCTCTCCCTCCATGATCCCGACATCCACCTGCATCACAAAAACCTTCCCAGCAGTTTGGTTGAAATCCAGTTTAGCATTGCATGCGTTCTTCCGCCCTGTCCCTGGGTTAGACCTGTTGAATTCATCCACGAAATTTAAAGCTTCGAGGGCCACCATATGAGGTTTTGTCATCTTCTGCTCATGCACAAGGTAGTTTCGTGCTTTCCAAATCCTCTGTGTCATAGTACATAGCAGTTGCATGCACAACAAGTCACCACACTTGAGGATCTTCACAAGCCAGTCCTGAATGCATAGGTCCACCGGTGCCTTGTACCTAAGAACAGAAGCGAAGAAAACCTGTTTAGCATAAAAACAATTCAGAAATAGATGGTGGCAGGATTCCACCTTGGCATTGCAGAAAGAACATAGCGGATCCAATTGAATTCCTTTCTTTCCCAGATTGTCCTTGGTGGGAAGGACATTTTTAGCCAACCTCCACAAAAAGTTTCGAGTTCTGGCATGAACTTTTGCCCCCAGATTTCCTTCCACAAATTTTGAAAGGGAATACTAGAAGTCCCGGGAGTTTTTGAACCTTTAATATGCTGACAAAGACGGTAGGCTGTTTTCACGGAATACTCCTTGTTTCTCTCAAAGTGCCAAAGGAGACGCTCTTCATTATCTCTAAAAGAAAGTGGAATGCTTGTGATTTGTTTGACATCCTCAGAATCAAAAACGGCCTCAATAACCTCCTTCTTCTAGATTTTAAGATCTTCATCAATAAACTCTTTCACTTTTCTGTTCTCATGGATACCTCTAGTTGGCCTAAGAATCTTGAAACCCGGGTTTTTAGGAATCCACTTATCAGAACAAGCCACAAACTTTTCTCATTTCCCAATTTTCCATCTCACCCCACTGTTTATGATCTCTCTAGCACTTAGATGCTTCTCCAAGCGAAACTTGGTGCGTAACCAATAGAGTTTTCCCCTATTGAATTTCTAGGATAGAACCTGCCTTTGAATACCTTCCCAAACAATGAATTCTCGTTAGTAAGAAGGCGCCAGTAATGCTTCCCCAAAAAGCTTGTATTAAAATCCCTGAAGCTTCTGAAACCTAATCCCCCTTCTCCGTTACACTTAGCAAGTTTTTCCCAACGCATCCAATGGACTCTCTTAGCTCCACCACGGGCATCCCACCAAAAGTTGGCCACGATGGACTCAATCTCTTTACATGTGGACTCAGGAAACTTGTAGCAGCTCATCACATAAGTAGGAATAGCCTGCACAACAGCTTTAATGAGGACCTCTTTACCCGCTCTAGACAGAAACTTCTCTTTCCAACCCTTTACCTTCTTCCACACCCTGTCCACTACCAGCTTGAAATTTCTTTTTTTGACCTGCCAAAATCCATAGGGAGGCCAAGATACATTGTGTGGTGCGACACAGTTCTGACTCCCAACTTTGCACGAAGCTCCTCTTGATTCACATCAGACAAATTCCTGCTAAAGGAAACCTCGGATTTATCAAGATTCACCACCTGCCTAGAAGCATCTTGATACCTTCCCAGAATAGCTAAAATATTATTTGCTTCCTGTTGGCTTGCCCTGGCAAAAAGTAGGTTGTCATCAGCGAAAAATAAGTGAGTTATCATAGGGGCCTTGCAAGCCACTTGGATGCCATGGAGATGCCTGCTAGTCATCTCCCTTTTGATTAAACCTGAAAATACATCAGCATACAATATGAACAGGTAAGGGGAAAGAGGGCCTCCGTCTCTCCGGACGAAAGCTAGCATTAGGTTGTCCATTAATTAAGACCATGTAAGTAACTGTGGAAATACACTTGCTGATAAATTCAACCAAACTTTGAGGGAATCTCATAGCATATCACAGTTTGGAAATAAAAGCCCATTCCAACCTGTCGTAAGCCTTTGACATATCCAGCTTGAGTGCCATGATCCCCGTCTTCCCTTTATTCTTTTTTTCATCCAATGGAAACACTCCATTGCCACTAAGGAGTTATCCGTAATAAGACGACCCTGGACGAAGGCGCTTTGTTCCTCATCGATGATGTCTGGAAGAATTCTCTTGATCTTGTTAGCAATGGTCTTTGTGATTACCTTCATGATCACGTTACAGAGACTGGTAGGACAAAACTCCTTAGCACTTGAAGGGAGCTTGCACTTTGGAATCAAAGCAATATGAGTCATTTTAATTTCTCTTGGATATGCATTATTGTTGAGCACTTCCAAAGTCACTTTGCAGATATCTGTCCCACTATACTCCAGTACTTCTGATGAAAAAGGGGGCAGGCAAACCATCTGGCCCTGGGGCTTTTAATGGGTGCATTTGGAAAAGTGTGGTTTTAACTTCCTCATCTGAGAATCTCTTCTCACACTTGCTAATATGATCAGATTAAAGTTTTCCTCTAACCATAGAACAGATCTCTTCCACATTTGTAGGCATAGAAGATGAGAACAATTCAGAAAAACAATGAGTCAATATTCTTTCACAGTGTTCCTCTCCTTTCCACCACCAGCCATTCTCATCCTTAAGCTTAAAGATGGTATTTACCTGTTTCCTCTAATTATCTTTCCCGTGGAAAAATTTGTTGTTCTTATCTCCATGTTTTAACCACAGAACTCGACTTCTCTGACGCCAAATTATCTCCTCAACCTGAAGAGTTTTATTCTTCTGAGAATCCAAAGCTTTGTACTCCACAATGTCCTCCTTGGCAGAGTTCCATCTGCACTCTTCCTTCAGAAGCTCTTCAATTCTTCCTAACTCTTTACTAATGGCACTTCTCCTATATTCCTTGAACAACTCATCGATGGCCTACATAGTTGTGATCTTCGAAGAAACCCCTCCTGCAGAATACTTCCACGACCTGTCCATGGTTTGGACTCACCTTCCTAGGTGTTTGTTTTCTTGTCCATTTATTCTTGTTTGAGTTTTTTGTCTTTGAGGTTGATGATTGAACTTTATCATTTCCCCACCGAGGGATTCCGCCACAGCCTCTACTTCCAGGTTGTCTTGCTTTGACAACTCCACCTAGTGGCTCAGACATCTTACCCAATTTACCCTGCTCCATTTCTCCTTCAGCTTCTTTGTCCTTTTCTTTTGTTGTACATTTGTTGTTCCCTGAGGAAATATTGAATAGATTCTTGTTGCAGGAGCTTGAAGTTGACTCCTTTCTCTATTCTACTGGGCTTCTTGGTAAAGGGGATGCACGTAACCACGGCCCATATCACAATTCCTTTCACTCCAACTCTTCAAAACCCTCTTCACTTGAATATGTCACCACCTCACAGTCTTTTAACTGATGCCCGAGTCTTTCGCATACAAAACAGAGACGCGTTAAGTTCTAGAAAGGACACGTGGAAATATCAGTATTTATTTTTGCTTCTCAAGTCGAATAAACAAAAAATTAAGAGATCATTTAATATGCTTGTGTTTCTCCTCCTTCTCTCCTCATATCATGATTATGAATAATTAACTTCTCTGTTATTATTTTAAAAGGAAAAAAACAAAACTAAAAATTAACTAAATTGAATTTTTGTTTGAAGTCCAATAGTGATAGCCCACTTTCATAGAAAACAAGTTTTTTTATTCAATATTTGGTTGGTATATCTGTAAACCACTCTTCAATTTCTTATTTTTATTTTTCTTCTCATAGAGTAGACAACTTTGTCTTCCTCCCTCTAAGCACCACTAACACGTATCACTTTTTTGTCATGCCCAGCCACTCTGGTCTTTTTATACCACTGTTTTAAGTGTATCGTATTTCATTTTTTAAGCTCTTATTCTCTTTTATACATATACGCTGTATATTTTAAATAATGGAATGTGAACAATTTTAACAACTTAAAACTATGTATAGGCTTTTGCATTTGCATTAAAAAAATTATTAAAAAAAAAAGGTGTTTGCTCTTGATTTTCTCACTTTAGGGAATTCAATCCTGCATACAGTACATGCAACCAACAAACTACCACTGTACATACACTAGATGTGACTAAAGTTTAATAAATGTATCATAATTGATAACAGTTAGGTAAATATAGACACCCACTAAATGGACACAATCTTTATTTTGCTGCTGGGGAAGATAGACTAGGAAAAATTATCATCATTGGTAAAGAAGTTAATTTGATACATTGGATTCTTGTGTTCTAAAAGAAAAGAGATAATGAAATAAAGACCTGCCTATTTTATGAAATTAATTGTTCTTTTCCTTATAGATGCTTCTTCAATAGGGACCCATTTTTAAAAACATCTAATAAAATAAAGTTGAAATGATTATGTTATAGCCAAACTCAAGAGAATATCCTATTACCAATATAAACATTTAGTATTAATATAATTTAATAAAATATGAAGCATTTAGCCATGACACCTAGAGATTTGTGATAGAGAAATGTTACTATTTGGATACCATATAAATAATAAACATTATAACAAAAACAAGCAGCACTTAGATATGAAACTATATATTGCATTCATTTGTTTCTAAATTTTTAGCAGAAACACCTATAAATAGGTGATACCAAATAAAAACCAAAACCAAATCCGGTAAATACCTTCTCAAACTATGAGAAGTACAAAAGAAATTAAAAATAACTACCACAAAATATCTTGTCTTTAAATAAGTAATAGAAAATTCAGTTTGTATCAGCTATTGACTCTGCTGTTTAATGTAAACCCAAAATAAAACAGCAGGATCCATTTCTATCACAACATAAACCGTTAGTTGCAAGCCACTGCATTGCTAGCCACTTCTGCCGCATCAACAGGTGGTTCCTCCACATTCGCCACAGCCTTGCCCCTGGCACCTTTTCTCTTCTTCTGTGGAGGCTCCTCCTCCTCCTTCTCATTCTCCTTAATCACTTCCAAGACTTCTTCACCTGAATCAGAGGGTTTTGAAACATCACTCTCCTCCTCTGGCTTCAGATTTTCATCACTTTTACTGCTTGATTCTTCAGCACTTTCTGCCATCTCTTCAGCCTGACGCTGCAGTGATTCTATCACACCCATCATCTCCCTGTTAACCTGCAAAAACAGAAATAACTTAAATAAGAACCTTTTTGCTATATAGAAGAGAAAAACAAAACAAGAATTTAAGGAAACAGACAAGGTATCAAACAACAGATGGCAAAAAAGTTTTTTCACTAAAATATTTGCAGCAAAACTACAAACATTATCATATACATCAACTCTAGTACCTAAAGATTTGCAACAAAACTAGAAAGTTTTCAAATACATAGATAGTTCCTGAGACAGCATTATAACCACAATTCTATACAAAACTTCATATTCTCAAATAGATTTAATGTGTCAAGAAAAGCTAATAATTTAGGAATACAATTAAAAGTAACTCAATAAGGAATCAGTTTGAAGTTTAGTAACCCATTCGCATTTGATTGGCACAAAATACCAAATCTTGATAAGAATATACCGTAATTATTAATGACATTTATAAATCATGAAATTCAAAAGCCAAGAATAAGGCTATTAACACCAACTTCAAATCAGGCAGTTTTTTCATAAAAATCTATTTAAAATATGGGGCACCAATACCTGTGGATTCTGGAGATAATCAGCTATATCGGTTGAACAGGTTGGGCATTTCATAATGTTCTTTTGTGTACGCAAAGCACGTCCACTTTTAGTGTTCCTATTCCTGATATAACTTTGGCCAGAAAAGGCACCCTCCAGACAACCTTTGCAGAAGTTGTGAGCACAAGGTGTAGTAAGAGGGGAAGCCAACACCTTACGGCAAATATTGCAACCAAACTCTGCAAAAACAATTAAAAAGGTGCAAAACTGTGTCAACTTACAAGTCTACTACTATATTGTGCTTCTAACAACAACTATCAATTAACAGCTTCAAAAAAAGTTAATAGTTATGACCAAGGATCTTGTACCTTTCAATAGCCTGTCCTTGATTTTGAAGGACACCTTTGGTGCTTTTGGCTTGACAACTTTTATTTTGGTTGGATCAAAAGGATCCACAACATTCATAGGCTTCTTACTTGGTGGTGGAGGCTTCTTCCACAACCAGCAGCCCTTTTCCTCCTGAAATTTAGACAAATGCACATATTGAGAGGCCTTACAAAATTTATAGAACAGCAAAATTGGGGATAAAAACATTCACCTAGTAAACTATTTCTCCAAGATCCAAACTTAATGATTGTGATTATCATTACTTACAAAGCAGAAAAGCAAACTCTAGAAACAATGAAGAAATGCAATAAGCAAATGCGAAAGAAACACTAATACGTCTAGAAATCTAAGAAAAGCAAATTAGTAGATAACATGGCTTACATCAAAGTCCCAAGATGGGTCACCCTTTCTTTCAGTTACATCAACTGCACCCTTAAATTCCTTGATGGTAGGAAGTTTACGGGGACGATCACCAATTAAGTCACTGGAGATCAATAAAACAAATTCAAGTGATCAAGCTATTAATTCCACTTGAAATATTAGTACAAACACACGGGAAACATAAAAACTGATGGACAAAAACTAACCTTGTCCATGGAGCTGGCTCATTGTCACACCTAACAAACAAGTACCTGCAAACCTTGTGACCCTGTCAAAGATAGATTAACCATCAATAACAAAAGCTTGAACAGTTGATAATACATTAGGTCTACCTTAGTACACTTAGTTAAATTAATGCGGCAAAAGATTATTAGAATCATGAATCATACTTGCTGTCCAACTTTACGCCAGCATTTCTCAATTCTATAAACCCCATCATATCTCACACCAGCTTCAGGTGCATAATTGGAACGTTTCTCCTTGTGGGACCTAAACCAAATAAACAAATCAATAAACACGATACCATACCAATTCACACAAATTTATGTCAAAATAATCACATAACTTCACATTGAAATTGGAAATTCAAAAGATAAGGAATCAATCAATTGAAATGGATTCATGATTAATCAGCACACCTTACAACACGAACTGGATAGCCTTTTTTGCAGCTGACTCTCAAAGCCTCATTCATGTTCTCAAACTGCTGATCAAAGGACTGATTTTTGTTGGTACGTTTGTTACCACTAAGATCCCTTCCACCACTACCAGTATAAAGGAACCACTCACCATGGTCTTCATCATCAACATATCCACCAGAAAGAGCAACAGATTGAGCACCATGACTACTCTGACCAGCAATCCCAGCAACATGGGGAAAATGAGCTCCCCATTGCCTGCATTCCATCCTATCCTCCCAAGTATCACCAACAAGAACCCCACGGTTCCTGTTTGGATCATTCTCAGCAAGGATTGGTCCAAAATGGTCTTTTGGGATTGTCACAAAGATTTTACCACTGCAGGCATTAGCCTTGCCAGTTTTCTTGGCCCTCTCTGTTGTGTAGCACTGATCAGGGCGCTCATCATTATGAACAACATGATAAACTTTTGGAGCAGAACTTCCCCCAACAGTTTCTGATTTGGCCAGCTTGGCCATACGAATTGCCATAGCCAACTGAGCGTTGATCCTTGGATTACTAGCCATCTTGGCTGGAATTGCAGCCCTGCAATTCGAGCAAGTGCGCTTTCCTTGCCCAATCCATTTTTGAAAACACTTCAGGCAGAAATTGTGCCCACATGGAGTCTAACAATCAACAACACAATCAGTTCCATAAAACAATAATAATCATAGAACCAAATAGTCTCCAATAGACTTCCCTTCAGATAAAATTGTTCAGATAACTCAGATCAAAATTTCAAACAATTTCAAACTTTATAATGATAATTTTAATAAAACAAAGTAGTCCAATACTTGAATGAAGATCAAATTGTTCAAAAAAATCAATTAACATATAACAATAACATTTAAATTAAACTAAATGTTCTTCAGGACACATCACTTAATATCAAACCTTTCAGATAAACTAACCAAAGCAAACTTGTTTACCTAAACTAATCAATTCAAGTTCATGATTAAAACACAATGTCACTAAAAATCAAGAAAATCAAACCTAAAATACAAAAAATTCCAATCGGTAAACAGAACAAAAAAACGGAAAGATAAAAATGTAAGAAACTTACCGTAACAGGCCTCTCGAGCAATAACATACAGGTAGAGCAATTCAAACCGCTATGAAATATATCCATCACACCATTCCTCTTAGTCGCGTTATTCTCCTCAACCGGCTTCACGGATCCACCAACAAGCTCCTGACGCTTCTTCGCCTTCTCCTCATCAGTAAGCGAAGCATCATTCTCAATAGCACGTATCGCAGAAACAAGATCGCCAGCAACAGACGGCGCCGGAGCAGACGCAACGGCATTCTCAACCGGTAGAGCACAATCACTACACTCCCAATCAACAACACTAACCGGAACAACAGGTAAACACGGTACATGCCATCTTGATCCGCAAGTTTTGCAGAAAAGTGAGTCAGTTTCAAGAGGCGTCTTTTTGCACGCCATGCAAACGCCATCGGCGTTGCAGGGAAACTCCGTCACGGCGGTGCTGCCGTTACCGTTGCCGTTAAGTTGTTGTTCCGCCATTGATGTCACTGAAAGTTCTCTTTCTTTGCTGTTGTTATGGGTTGTTGAAAAGTGATGTAATATAAGGGACTTTTTCTCCCTTTTTATAGCGATTTCTTTATTTATTTTTATTTTTTGAAGTTTTTTTTTACACTCGCGAGGGAATCGCGGCTTTTGAATTTTTTTTGTTTTTTTCTTTTCCCACTCTTTTTTTCTATTTCCCCTCTCTTTATACCTTATTTGATTTATTTATTATTATTTTTATTTGTTCTGTTCAATGTATGTTAATTTATTAGTATTTTATTTATGGCGTGTATATCTATTATCTAGTCACTTTTTGTTTTTTAAGTTATTTTTTATTAAATTACTATAAGTGTTATGTAGTCATAATTGGAAATTAATGGATAGAAAATTATTTATTGCATGTATTAAATTTGTTTATTTAAATAGGCGTATATTCTTTATTATGACTATAACGTTAGAGTTCATGAACAGGCGTGTATCTTTTTTATTATATTGAAAATGAAAGTTTGGTCAAAAAGAAATATTGAAAATAAGTTAATATTGGTTTCTCATTTAAAGAAAATTTGAAAAAATAAATAATATATTGTAACCCTTTTATCAGAATAATATAGAAAAGAATATGAACTCAATGTTTTTTAAGTTAAAAAATGAATTTGTGTTAAAATTCAAAGAATCCTAATTAATAGAATAAAAGGAAATATACATATAAAAATAATAAAATTAGTTTTTAATGAGATAAATGAATATGGCAAGAAGATAATAATCAATCAATGTTTTAAAAATCAGATTTGTTATTAAATTGATGAGGGTATTAGGTCATTCGCTCATTAGTCGAATCACTGGATCATTGGTCGAACCATATGACCAAACCGAATTAAATCGAATAATTTGGTTTAATAGACATGTCATTATAATAAAACTATATAGGTATAACATCGGTCGAATCGAATGATTCAGTCTCTATAAAATATAACTAGCACTTAAATTTTTTGAAAATATCTCATCATAACAAGTTCATAATTTAAATTGAAATTTTAAACATAGTTATCAAATACAAAATACTACAAAATTACGAAGTCTAATTGCAACATAATTTAATTGAATAGTTTATAGCAAAATAACTCTGATGTCTACTAAATTTAGTTCTAAGAAGGTAAAATTATTTCAATATTAGGATCTCCTTCTTCAATATCAAAACAATTTACAACAAAATCAATTGCTTCTTCAACATCTTCCCCATTAATGATATCATTACTTTGGTTGTTTTCTCCATAATTAAGATGTGCATCACCCTCAACGTCAACCTCATTCAAATTTAATTGATCTATAACAACATCAATTCAAAGAGTTTAGCTATGGACATATATTAATAAATTAAAATAACAAAATTGTAATTCACAATAACTAATATCATATCAATATCATTTGAAATAGGTTGGATTGTCATACTAGCAAGATATTTGTGTAGTGCTTCCACCTCCTCAATAGTTAAGAATGGTGGTGAATCCTCCAACACCCAATTAAAATGATCACCAAATGTTTCAAAATTGATAGGATCATAATTATGTTTTTTCTTATTTATGTAAATCATTAACGATAATGTCAAACATAGAACCAAACAAACTTAATAAATCAAACAATAACATATATTCTTAACAAACCAAACAATATTTTATATCTTTAACTATAAAACCATATCATATATTCTTAACTTTAGAACCAATATTGTGTGTTGCACAAGGAGACCAATACAACTTAGAAAATTCTTTTTCCAACAACTTTCCAGCAGCAACATAATTCGTAGCATTATATGTAACGATTTGAACAAAATTGTTTGGGCCAACATACAACACTACTTTCTTGAAAAGCTTAAACAATGTCTACAGTTTTAGAAGCACCAAAGACATCAACATACTTTATGAAAACAGTTCTTTTCGGGCAATCAACTAAAAAATTGATAAAAGTTCTACTACAACGACCAGTACACTCATCTGCCATGAGAGTATAACTTGTATCCTTTCAAATAGAACGATATTGCTCTACTTTTATCTTCATGCCATCAACCCATTTATTTAACAAATTACCACAAAAGGCATGCATAGTAGGAACTTTATATCCAAAACCCATGCAACAAAGAGCATCAACTACATGTTGAAAATAAGAAAAAATTTCAACACTAAAAGGAATATATTCATCAATAAACCACTTTTTAATAACAAGACCACACTTTTATATCACTTATTTACTTTGCATCACATTTTTAAAGTAGGTTGAGCTCACGGAGTTGTTATGGGTAAAAAATAAATACCAATGTGAGTGTCATTCTTTTTAGATGCATCACTCCGCTCATTAAAATGTTATTTCATTTGAAAATAAATTTTTATAGGCATTGACTTACAAATTTCAACATTTCCTACTACTCCAACCAAATGTTGTTTTACTTTATGAATTTAACCTCCACCAAAAGCTTTGTGACAATAGATACAAACAAGAGATTTTTTATCAGAACTTTTAGTACAATGTGCCCAAGCAATATGAGTCTTTTCTTTAACATTATTTTGAACTAAATTATAATTTAAAGAGGCTTCTTGTAATGGTGGTTGTGATGATGGTGTTTTAGAAGATACCATTTTTCTATAAAACAATTCAAAATTGTCAACTTCAAATACACTTTGGTAAGCAAGATACATAGAAAATCTACTCATAAAATAAAACAACAACCATCATTTTTGTTTTATTTAAGAGAATTTTAGTCACACAAAAAACCCGAGACTCTTGAACTTTAAATTTTACAACGCTATTTTAAACTAAAGCTAAGACTAAAGTTCTCATAATTGAACTTCATCATGACTTGATAAATTTAACCTAAAGCTGCAGAGTAGTTTTTTGATTATTTGACTACATAAAGGATTAACTTTAAAAACTAGAAACAATAGTACCTTACTAGTATCCCTAACATGAAATTAAATAAGTCCCTAATATAAATAGAATCCAAGACTCTCTTACTATTTCTATGAGCATTGGAGATAGACACAAGAAACAGTGTGGTAAGAATGAATCCAATATGATAACATTTAACTTTTTATGAGATAAATCTTGAATTTTTTGTCTTGTTACAGTATAGAAAAATGATATAGTAATTAACTATATCTTTCAAAAATAATGAATCCACTTCAATTTGATCACGTACCATGAAAACATATAAAACCTACTCATAAAACAACAACCACATAATCAACAATTTTAACAATTTAATCTTGAACTAACCATAATCTTTAACACATTAAAAAATGAAATAACATAGAAGTAGAACAGAGATGAATGAAAACAGAGGAAGTGAGTAATGAACCTGGAAACGATGTTGGAACCAGAACCGGAATAGTGTTAATGTTATGGTGAGTTGTTGGTATGTTGCGGCGGAGAGGGTGAACTTGGAGGTGTGGTGGAGAGAAAAACGGTGGCGCGGTGGTGGTCGGACGATCGTGAAACAAAATGGAGGAGAGAAAGATGCTTCTGCGTGTTTTGACTTCAGCTTCTACGTTCTACTTCTGCGTTTGGATTTTGGAAGAATATAACTAAGTCGTTTTTATTTAAATTTTAATTTTAAAAAAGCATTTCAACCACCAAATTCCTGATTTTTTACTGTCTAAACTGATTTTTATCGGTCCAACGACGTAGATGATCTATCTATTGAATTAGATCGGTTATTTGTCTGATTTTTAATTCAATCGATCCGACTGTCCAATCCAGTTCAATTTTTAAAACTATTAAGTCAATCGTAAGAAAATTTGATCATATATGTGATGATATAATTTATTTATTTACTTAGTAGATTTGTGTTTTTAGATAAAGTGTAAACTTCTCTACTATAGAATTTTATATTGAATGGTTTTGATTTGGTTCTCCCTAAATTTTTTTGTCTCCATATGATTATTTTTTTCCTTTTAAGATATTTTTTTGTGGTGGCTCAGATCATCTTTTGTCCAAAAAAAAATTGTAAAATTTAGATTCTTTGATTTTTGGTGAAGGTACATATATGTTAACTAGGGCTTGTTGTTAGGGTGTTTATGGGTATGTGTTGACCCACAAACTTGTTAACTCAAATGGAATCAATTTATAATTTATTCGAAAATATACATGTATACTCAACTCAATCCACAACCACCTTTATAATTTTAATTTGGATATCTAATTTGAATTTTTTAATTCGCGGACCCATTGACTCAATTTGTTGGTGAGATATTAATAATTTTAGTAGTTATTATTATTATTATTATTATTATTATTATTATTATTATTATTATTATTATTATTATTATTATTATTATTATTATTATTATTATTATTATTATTATTATTATTATTATTATTATTATTATTATTATTATATTAAATGAAAGTATAAAATTAATATTACACTATTAACCACAATTTTACTAAAAAAATATTCAACACTCATATTATTACTAGATTGATAAGCTTACATAATAATAAAATTAAGTGTTGTTTCTAATTTTCTTTTGTAACATTTTTAACTTACAAATTTTATGCAATTTTCTACTATTATAAAGTGTTATGTCACGTTGATGAATTTTTTAAAAATTATGTGATATGTTTCATCCAATATTTTAAAAATTAAACTGAATCGTCTGGTTCAATCGGTTGGACCGGGAATCAGATGTGATTTCGATCGGGACAGCCTTGTAAAATCATAGGTGGGTTAAAATTGGAATAAAATAAAATAAAAGTTGGATTAACCACTCAAAATTGTTTGAACAAAAGAGTCGAAGTCGGTTTTGTAAAACCGCTTGATTTAAAGATGTTGTAAATGTGCCTTAAAACCTTTGTTGGTGAAGAGAAAGAAAACATATTTTGGAGATTGCATTTACCGCGAAAATCATAAGTTTTAGAAAATCGGACGAAAAGTTTAAAAAAAAAAAAAGTTGGTGAATAGTGTTATCTGTACGGATGAATAGTGACGTTCGTACAGAAGAATA